TTAAGTAGTTGACCTCGGGTCAAGGTCAGGTCAGAGCCCCTCAGGTCACGAAGCTGGGCAAAGGGTATCATATGGCATATCATTCGATTCGGAAGGTCTTCCCGAGTCCATTGGTGGCTTTCCCGACTCTCTAGCTCCATTTGATCGGGAGTTATTGACGAAAAACTCGTACGACCCTAGTGACGTCATAAATGACGTCACGCAAGGTTAACAATGCAAAAGTAAAGCATTGGACTTTGCAAGGAGTGCATGAAATCACGATACCATGTACGTGGGATAGTTTTAGATCATTCTCGGCGCCAAAATAACAGTTTTTATATTTCCCCATTGATTTATAACAGTGATGTCACGTGACCGACCTGACCTCATGTAACCTTGAAAAATTCCCAGATATACAAGTTGTGAGACCTCTGGAGGACACCATGTATGCGTCCTGTAACTTTCATCTCGGACAGCTATGGTCATTGGCGTCCAAAACAATGTCAGAACCAAACAGCCTTTTTCACCCTTGCGCTTATAGGAAAGAGGGTTGAATGAACCCTCTTTTCACTTTTTTCAGATGACTCAGACTTGAATTGAAATTTCAGTAACCCGTGATGTCACTAGGCAGCTTTACCACGCCATTTGTAAGCTCCCCTCCCGAAATCACTATTCGAAACCGTTATCGTGACGTAAAATAAATACATTTATAGAAAGAACACCTTCCTAATGTTTTGCATACTTCTTAACAATGAGCCAAATATTTTTTTAAAGAAATAAAAATTCAAAAAAATTTGGTCCCAAAGTCCAAAAAATACAAATGAAAGAAAACTCGATATGTCATATATAAAAAATAGAGTATTTTTCGAAATTTCAAAAATACATATTAATCTCTGTTTCATTGCAAGTTCAATGTTATATGACATTTGGCATTTGCATAATCCGTCTTAGAGTTACAGCCCGCCAAACTTAGCGCTGCAAAGCAAGATCCAAAAAATGTTATACACCATAACTAAAAAATACTTATCTGATAAGCCTGAAATTGTTATAGGTGGATTCAGAGCCCCTGATCACCCCTGAGACCAATTCTCGTCAAATTCCGAGAGATGAGGGTGTCAAATTGGAAAAAAGTGGTACGATCTATCGTGGAATGCCCCAGCTTCCAGAAACAGGATTCGAAAGCACAGTATGTCTTGTTACATACCGTTTTTGACAATGTTTAAAGGTAGTGTGCCACCTTTGAAAGATTTCCCGTTTTATTTTTCCTAGGATAAGAAGCTTCTGTTTTTACCTAATGGGGCATTCCACGATAGATCGACCAAAATTTTATCAGATTTACACCCGACCATTTTTGATTTTGATGAAATCTTGTCTACAGGGTTCTCTTATGCCCTGAAGTCAATGGTGACAACGCCAGACCCCTACGGTCAGCGGTTTAGGAGATATAGCCCCGGGCATTTTGACGAGGTCACTCTGCAGAGTGATTTTTGAAGTGCTATATCTCCTAAAGGAATGAAGGAAATGCATTAAACCTTTGCATCGTTGTGATCGTGGTGAAATGGGCAATTAATTGGCCATCTCGGATTTAAAAAAAAATGATTTACGTCATCAATTTTTAAACTTTCTGGCTACCCCCCTAGTACATTAAAATCTGCCATTATTTTTGCTCAGAAATAAAGTTCCGTCAATTTCCTTTCGACTGGGAAAAAACAAAAATGGTAATCTTTCTACAAATATTTTATTTTATTTTTTGAAAATCGCACTACAAGCTCTGATTTACAGAATCGGGTTATTAAGCAATATGAGACACATCTGCGAGGACCAGTTACTTCCAAAAAGAGGTTATCTGGGTTTCGGCATATAATATTCTTCTCTTTAACTTCACTTTTGATAACAAAAAAAAGAACTTTAATATTACTTGCACAGGAGTCAATATAATGGCAAAATTATACATACTTTTGAGCTGCCACAGCTGCCTTGTTTATCAACGTAGCTCAAATGACCAACCGACAGTCGATTTGCAAAGCATATTTACGAACCGACTAATTATAAACGAACAAAATAATTGGTAGTTTCAGGAAGGCAAAAGGTGGTGTAATGTGACTAGGTATTTCATCAGCGAATCATCATTTTCAACGCTGGATGCAATAAAAGCCATAAACAACGGAGTGCATTTCTATTGCAGTTGCAATAACAGACGGCAAAGCACCAAGACAGGAACGAGATCACGGCCACACAAACACACTTTTTACTTATTTGAGCTACGTTGATAAACAAGGCAGCTGTGGCAGCTCAAAAGTATGTATAATTTTGCCATTATATGTATTGACTCCTGTGCAAGTAATATTAAAGTTCTTTTTTTGTTATCAAAAGTGAAGTTAACCCGCGCGGGGCTGGGGTCTCCAGCCGAACGCGCGGGGCTGGGGGGGGTAAATTTTACCCCCTGTTATCTCCCGAACTAATGGTCCGATTTGGAAAATTCAAACCCCAATCGAAAGCTCTCATCACGAACTACTAAAAACATGTACTTAATTTAAAGTTTGAGGTCAAGGTCAAGGTCAGGTCAAGGGTACAAATTGCAAGTTTCTACAGTATCGGCCTTGCACCGTAGTTGCCGAAGAATGGAGTCATGAACTGAGACTGATCGCCCAAAACGTGTTCTTAGGCTACCAAGACAATATTCGTTGCATACAATATCATTCAGAGGTCAAGGTCAAGGTCAGGTCAGGTCAGGTCAGGTCAGGTCACCAAAAAACAAAATATAGAAAAGGGCATGTGCGACACATGTTTTATTGGTCATTTTACTCATAGAATTCAATAGGCACACTCAATAAGTGATATGGACCACCTCTGGATGAATTTCAGGTCGAGGTCAGGCCAAGGTCAGGTCAAGTGAGGTCAAATTTTGAAGTTGGTTGTTAAGGCCTAAAAAGGTGTCTATCTGATGCAGTTTTTCACGGTGAATCGAATGGTGCTACTTTTGTTTCCGTGCGAGGTCTAGAACTTCCAAAAAAGTCATTTTTCAAAAAATTTGTGTGTCGTGACGTCATAAAATTTTGAATAACTCCCACATTTTTGAACCGATTCTTCTAAAATTTGGTATGTAGGTGCACATAGACCACTTCTCTAACATATATTCCGGTTTTTTCGATAGACTCAAAATTTTGGATTTTATATGATTTTCCCAAAAAATCAGTTTTTTGAAAAAATTTAGGCCAAAATCCAAAGTTTTTAAAAAACCGAGATAGCCATTTGATAGACAAAGTAAAATTACGTATAACCTTTTTTGTTACGTCTTGATTCCTTTAAAAATGAAGATGTTAGCGGCGTTTGAACTTTTGCCGTTTTTGAGGCGAAAATGGCGAACATGACGTCACTAAAACGTCAATTTCTCAAAAATTTTCCGACGGATTTCGCTCAAATTTTCAGGGAACGTGTCAAATTGATGTAAGAAAAGGTACTGAAAGTTTGGCGGCGCTGCGCGCCGCCGTTTTTGAGATATCGCAAAAATTCGCGAGGGGGGGGGGTAAAATTTACCCCCCCCAGCCCCGCGCGGGTTAAAGAGAAGAATATTATATGCCGAAACCCAGATAACCTCTTTTTGGAAGTAACTGGTCCTCGCAGATGTGTCTTATATTGCTTAATAACCCGATTCTGTAAATCAGAGTTTGTAGTGCGATTTTCAAAAAATAAAATAAAATATTTGTAGAAAGATTACCATTTTTGTTTTTTTCCCAGTCGAAAGGAAATTGACGGAACTTTATTTCTGAGCAAAAATAATGGCAAATTTTAATGTACTAGGGGGGTAGCCAGAAAGTTTAAAAATTGATGACGTCACAGCTAAAAATCAAAATCATTTTTTTGAAAATCCGAGATGGCCAATTAATTGCCCATTTCACCACGATCACAACGATGCAAAGGTTTAATGCATTTCCTTCATTACTTTAGGAGATATAGCACCTCAAAAATCACTCTGCAGAGTGACCTCGTCAAAATGCCCGGGGCTACATCTCCTAAACCGCTGACCGTAGGGGCCTGGCGTTGTCACCATTGACTTCAGGGCATAAGAGAACCCTATAGACAAGATTTCATCAAAATCAAAAATGGTCGGGTGTTAGGCCTTGGTCGATCTATCGTGGAATGCCCCTAATATCGCAAAAAAAAAATCAAAAATGGGCCTGGAATAGTGCCTTTTTCGCCTAAAAGTTTATCGGTTTTTAGATATGTATAACAACTGTAGTGGGCTCACCTGCAAACAGGCGTCGGGCAACAATCGCGAATGCGGCGCACTTGTGACAATAAGCAGAGGTCATTATAGTGTTACGACCATACGACGTACGGGAATGAGTTATCAGCTGTCTAATCGTAGACAACACAATGTCGAGCCTTAAACTGTAAGCCTGTATTGGTATTGTTTCTTAAATTTGGCTGTCGAACATTAATTTGTGGTTTGAAATATGATTTTATGTAAAATAATTGATATGAAACAGCCGTCTCTTAAGTTATGACCCCATTACACCACACGCAAGTGGCAGAAATGACAATGATCAGCTGACGCATTTTTCTTGGCCGAAGTCAGAGCGCGCGGCCCGACGCACCACGCGTATTTGGAAATTCCGACCTCGACGAGCATCAGAAGCCACCTAACAGGCGTGTTCGAAACCGCAGGAGATGATGATGAACGGGTTTATCGAAACTTGATTGGATGAGCCTATCGGTAATAGCGATTTAAGTGTGTGCATTTATTGTTCATAGTGGTGTGAAATGTGGTTGGGGTACGACCGACAACCCGTCGTGGCGAATTTCGCACTGGGGTACTCAAAATTTGAAGAATTTAAGACGTTTCCATAAGTTTTGAAGGTATGGATAAGTTCTAAAAATCCGGTTCTCCTTATCCGGGTCATTAACTCCATATGGTCCAAGAAAGCTGGCACACTACCTTTAAGCTCATATATGTTGTAATGATTTCGATGCCGTGCTCCTCGCATTGTTGGGTGACACCGAATGTGACTGATTTTCAGCCCAGAAGTGCGGACGCAAGGCCGGGAATCCGGGACAGCGAGAGCATCGTAAGTATGGTTTTCGATCTAGGACTGTTTCGGCTTGAAGCGTCGTAGCATCAATGCAAGCCGTTTGGCAACATGTTAATTGGCTACATGCACTATTTTCTAAGTTTCTAGGTACAATTAATTGTACCTATTTCTAGATTACCCTGCTATTGAACACTGAATGTGAGTCGTAAGTAAAGACGTGATGTTTTTCAGGAACTTGGTCCAGGGGGCACAAGGCTGTCCTTGGCCACGTATCGGTCGATTCCGTGGAAACACCCCAATAAGAACAAGACCGTGAGGGAGATATTAGTGTCAGTTTTCGGGATGGAGGTTCTTGCTAAGTCATCGATGACGGGCAAGCCATCAAACGCGATGTCGCTGAATAAGCCAGCGAAGAGGCCTCTAGACAGAGTGAAGCTGGACGACGTGATCCGTAAGTGTACTTTTGCAGGAACAATGACATGCTATTTACGTTTCATTGTGCTCCGGTCGCTATCTTTAGTGCGTGTTGTTGGGTTCCCTAGGCCCGTAACCAGTGTGAACATCTCCGCGTGGTAGCTAAAGCAAAACACGCCTGGTTGGGCCCCCGTCCGTCTAGACGATGACCACTTTTCTGGGTAGATTAGGACCAGGTGCCGCTCTTCACGGACCAGTCTCTCCACGTCTAGGCCGCGCATTGTGAAAGGGTTGCTAGGACGTCCAGGGCGGCCGTCCTCTCCTCTGCATTCGCACCATCTCTCCACGACTTTCTGTTCGAATTCTTAACGCCTCATTTTGCCTTTCAGATGCTTGTAAGCGTAAGCTGGGCATGAGTACTGGCGAAGTGCAGAAGCAGGTTACAGCGGTCTGTAATAACTGCGCCAAGGTGCGGAGCCGAGCCGGCTCTACTCGTCAGGGCGCTCTTTAAGGGTACGTAATTGATCACTGATAAATTGTTTTAGCCCGTTTAAATCTTCAGCCACAACAAAAGGTGCAAGGGCTAAATTTTATCGATCAATAACATCAAACGCAGGGCTCAAAAGGTTCGCTTGTTTAAACAGTGGTGGTGTGTCAGGTGCATGAGAAATGGAATATCATCGTTAGTAATTTTCCATTTCTTTTCAGGTTCTTCTGAAACGCCAGTCTCGCTGCAACAGCCCCGCTAGCTGATCCAGCCAGTGTGTGGACACTGACATCTAGTGCCTTGAAAATGGGGTTTACATGACATGAGCATGAGCTTTAGCTTACATGAGCTTTATACAAAATACAGATTGTCATTGGTTACCCTTATCTTTGCAATCAGACGTTCAAGCAACCGCATTTGTTATTCCTTATGGGTCATTGCTATGCATATTTTCAGGGATTTTCAGGCGTGATCCGCCGGAAATCCAACGATATGCAGTAAGATCAAACGAATGAACGACTTTTTGCGTGAATCTATATGACTACATAGGTATACAACATTAACTTTTTGCAGCCCTAATGATTTGACCGGGTTGCACCTGTAAAGGACGTTTCTACATGCCTTTATGTATTTCTTAAATCACAATTAAGTCTAGGGTTGTGATAGCGTTTCTAGTATACAGGGCTGTTGAAGCACGCCTGCATTTTATGACTGTCCTATAGGATTCTTTAAGGACTTTGTCGGTGTCCTATACTATAGGAGACCGGCAAAATCCTATAGGGCCTATAGGATTTTGCCGGTCTCCTATAGGACTCGTACATGATATTTCTATAGGAATATTCAGGAGTTCTATAGGACTCCTGATCAGGATTAAAATCCTATAGGACACCGACAAAGTCCTATAAGAATCCTATAGGACAGTCATAAAGTCCTATAGTATGCCTATAGGACAACCACAAAGTCCTATAGGATACCTATAGGACAACCACAAAGTCCTATAGGATACCTATAGGACAACCACAAAGTCCTATAGAATGCCTATAGGACAACCACAAAGTCCTATAGGATACCTATAGGACAACCACAAAGTCCTATAGGATGCCTATAGGACAACCACAAAGTCTTATAGGATGCCTATAGGACAACCACAAAGTCCTATAGGATACCTATAGGACAACCACAAAGTCCTATAGGATGCCTATAGGACAACCACAAAGTCCTATAGGATACCTATAGGACAACCACAAAGTCCTATAGGATGCCTATAGGGCAACCACAAAGTCCTATAGGATACCTATAGGACAACCACAAAGTCCTATAGGATGGCTATAGGACAACCACAAAGTCCTATAGGATGGCTATAGGACAACAACAAAGTCCTATAGGATTCATATTAAAAGTCCTATAGGACAATGCGTCTTATAGGTATCCTATAGGTATCCTATAGGTATCCTATAGATATCCTATAGGTATCCTATAGGATACCTATAGGATACCTATAGGACTATTCCGGAAAGTCCTACACAATTTCTATAGGACTGTCCTATAGGATTGTATAGGACTTTTTTGCTAGGGAACGCTCGCCGCCAAACGAGAGGATGAGCCTTGCACGTGCAGACCGGAGTGGATGTGCTACGAACTGACGTGCACGCACTCTACTAACCGCTCTCTAGCGGTGTGCCAAATTTGAGTGCAATCGGTCCGGCCGTTTTCGAGATCTGGAAGCGGCACCCTGCACGCGCGCTGGTGCAACCTGGGTCCCAATTGACTTGTGCACGGCACCCTATTCGCCGGTCTCTAGAGGTGTACCAAATTTGAGCTCAATGGACCCAGCCAATTTCAAGATCTGGAAGCGAACCCTGCACGTGCGCACGTGCAGCTGCATTCCAAACGTGGCACATGGAAATACATACTAACTGACTGGTGCAAGGCACCCTAATAACCAGTCTCTAGCGGTATGCCAAATTTGAGCACAGTAACTAGGTCCAGCAGCTCTTGAGATCTGGAAGCGTCAGCCTGCACGTGCGCACGTGCCAAATGGGTCCCATCTGACCTGTGCACGGCACCCTACTCGCTGATCCCTAACGGTGTGCCAGCTTTGATTACAATCGGTCCAGCCGTTCTCGAGATCTGGAAGCGTCACCTTGCCCGTGCGCACGTGCAGCGGCACCCCAACCGTGACACCTCGAAATGCATTGCCCGGCGGGTGCCTACACAGATGCCAAGTATCAACCACAAATCGTCAAACTAACCACAGAGTTATTAGACTTGTTACCGAACTGACACCTCTTCGTTTTGCACGTGGCACAAGCATTAGGGGTCACCCATACGCATCGAGAATAGCACACTACGTGTAAGAAAGGAAGAGGCCTTAGGGGTGCCTTATTTTAGGAACGCTTGGGGATCATCAGTCATAGTAGCACCATACACGCACAATGCAAGAGGAGTCGCAATACTTACGAAAAACTTAGACGTAGAATTCGGAGAGACAATGATTGATGAAGGAGGAAACTTCATCATTACAAAGGCAAAAATCCAGAAAGAATTCGAATTATGTCTGGTAGCAATTTACGGCCCGAATACAGACGAGCCCAATTTCTTCGAACTTTTGAGCGAGAGCATTAATGCAACCATAGAGGACGCAGATACACCAGTCGTTATCGGGGGTGACTTTAATGTAACTCTAAATCAACAGTTAGATAACTTTAACTATAGAAGAGAAAACAACACTCGAGCTAGAGAAGCAGTAAAAGCAATGATGGTACAAAATGAATTGATAGACATATACAGAGAAAAAAATCCTGAAAACCGAAGATATACTTGGCGGGTTGGAAACCCAATAGTAAAGCAGGCGAGACTGGATATGTTTCTTACTAGTGCTGCTCTGGAAAGTTATGTTGATGAGGCGGACATTCAACCAGGTTATAGATCGGATCACTCTATTATTACATTGACGGTGGACTTCTCAAAGCAGCCGAGGGGAAGAGGACTCTTTAAATTCAATGCATCATTGTTAAGAGACAAAAATTACGTCAAAATGATAAAAGATACGATTAAGAGTACGGTAGTAGAATACGCTCTTCCCGTATACGCACATGACTACATTTTGGAGACCTCAACAAAGATAGAAATGACAATTGATTCATCTTTGTTTTTTGAAACTCTGATGCTGACGTTAAGAAGAGAAACAGTCTCTTTCGGCATTAGGAAGAGAAGGGAGGAACGAAGGCGAGAAAACCAATTGGAAAGAGATATACTTCTTTTAGAGAAAGAGCTTGACGCTTTAGGTACTCACTCATTGTACGATCAGATACAAAACAAGAAAAAAGAATTGGAAGACGTAAGGAGGATCAAGTTGGAAGGGAGTTTGGTTAGGGCGAGAGCTGTATGGAGGGAAAATGCGGAAAAACCAACAAAGTATTTTCTTACATTAGAAAAAAGGAGGTACGAAAGTAAGAGGATACCATGCATCAGATCGTCAGCAGGCTGCACAAGGAATCAAATAGAATTTCTTGATCTATTCCGTAGATTTTATCAAAAAAGGTTCAAAAGTGAGGATGAGTTTTTAGAGGGAGTTAATTACGATGAATATCTATCAAACATGGATATCAAAAAAGTAAATGACCATGACAAGCTCAATCTAGATAAGCCGTTGAACATGCAAGAATTAGGATCAACGCTACAGAGGATGAAAAATGGAACGTCTCCAGGTAGTGACGGTTTTTCCGTAGAGTTTTATAAATTCTTCTGGGCAGACATAAAACACTTTTTTCATGCTATGGTAGTTGAGAGTGCCACAAAGGGTACAGTTCCTCTAACTTTAAAAGAAGGAATAATCGTGTTGTTACCTAAGCCAAATAGACCCAGAGATTTGATCAAGTCATATAGACCAATAACACTCCTAAATACTAGCTACAAAATCATTTCAGGTGCTATTGCAAATCGATTAAAACTCGTGCTAGGAGACATAATCGAGGATTGCCAGTCTGCCTATTTAAAAGGGAGATTTATTGGGGACAATATCAGGATGATTTACGACGTTATCCAACTCTTGAATCAAGAACAAAAGAACGGGGTCTTAGTAAGTCTGGATATAGAAGCAGCTTTTGATTCAGTCAGTTGGACTTTCATTAAAAAAGTCCTGGAGCAGAAAAACTTTCCGCATAGTATTACACATTGGTTCAACACACTGTATGCTGGAGCTTTTTCCAGAATTTTGTATAATGGTCATTTGTCGAGTAAAATAATGCTAACAAGGTCTTGTAGACAGGGGGATGCGCTAAGTTGTTACTTGTTTATTCTTGTGATGGACGTTTTAGCGAAAAAGATTCGAGGAAATGCAGCTATCAAAGGAATTAAAATAGACAATGAGGAACACAAAGTGCTCATGTATGCAGACGATACGATTTGTTTACTCGAACCAGAGAAAACAAGCATGATGGAACTCTTCCAAGAGATAGGATGGTTCGCGAAGTATTCGGGACTAAGTCCAAACCTCGATAAGACTCAAGCTATGTGGATAGGGAAGACATGCAGAGAAAATCGTTTTCTTCAGAGAAATTTAGCTGTAAAGTGGAGTGAAACGATTAAAGTCCTAGGGGTCACTTTCGATAATGAACTGCAAAAAGTAACAGAACTGTACACAGAGAAGGTAAAGGAAATCAAAAGAGAAATAACGAAATGGAAGTTCAGAAACGTATCACTGGAAGGAAAAGTGGTAATAATAAAATCGATGCTGATCTCCAAGATTAGTCACCTGCTCACAACGCTCCCTGACCCATCAAAAAAAATTATCAAAGATCTTAACAAGACTCTTTTCAGCTTTCTGTGGCATGGAAAAGGAGAAAAAATCAAACGGGAGTCTTTGATGAAAAACCATCTCAACGGAGGAGTGGACATGGTTGATTTAACAAGTTATATGAGAGCCTTGAAGCTATCTTGGATTAGGAGGTGCATTGTAAAGCAAGGAATATGGAACGCAGTTGCACAGAAAAGTACGGGTAAAAATATATATTTCTGGCAAATGGGTCAAACAGCTTTGAAAAGAAAGGCATCTCGTACTAAGAATCTATTCTGGAGAGATGTGATGATAGCATTAGCAAATTTCAGGGAAATATGCTCACAGAAGCTAGGTGTCGAGGAGCTAAACTCCACAGCTATCTTTTTTTCTGATACTACTAAGTTCAAAACTTCATGGATTGAAGAATGGTATGTCAAAGGCATCAGATCGTTGAATGACTTATTAAAAACAGATGGATCTTTACTAGGTTTTGAGGAATTAAAACGGACCTACAACATTACAACCACTTTTCTGGATTATGCAACACTAATAAGTAGCTTACCTAGAGAATGGAAGGAATCGGGAGAA